CCCGGAGGGAAGAAGCCAAATCTTCCTTACGTCGAAGGGTGGCATCCAACGACATCATCCCAAGATCTTTTAAAATCGGTAGTATTCTCGTAGGAAAAAGCAAACCATATTTGCCCTTTGGCTATCGCTGTCGGAAAGGCGGAGTTGATAGCAATGGTGAAATGGGTAATTTTGAGAGAAATTCAGGTTTTAGGCACGTATTAACTTTTTGTTTGTACGCTGAAAGCCAACATCTTCCGTTCCCTGACACAAATTGGCATTGCTAGGTCGCATCTGGAGAAGCACCAAAAGTTGTATAAGTGTGAACTGCCTGGGTGCAAAAACCACAAAGGGTTTGCGAGGAAAGATCAACTCCAACGGCATCAGGAAAATGTCGCACATAATACCACGTAGGTAACAGGTACTGCGCATTAAATCCGAAGCCTCCGTTCGTTTGTGATTGGGCTCTCAGTAAAACCACATTTTTTATGCCAGAGATTTATGGCCTATTGACCGTGTGAGTAGATTCATGTTGTTGTAGCAAAGTTCAACAAGAAATAAATATTCAATGCGACATAAATATGCTCTGCTTTATTTTTACCTACCACCATGGGGTTCTGCGACTACGGACGAGTTGTACTGTACTCAGCATAGAGGCATAATTGAAGAGGTTTATCCTGAGATGCCTCACTAGAGGAATGAAACGATGTCCGTAGAGATGTGTGTTCTGGTTTCAAGATGTGCCTCAAAACATTTGCAAAACATGAGGCGCAAACTAATTGTCCGTTCAGAATATATGGGCAGGATGCCTTCTTGCCTCTGCTTGTTGGGGGATCGCGTGCTAGGAAAGATGCTTCCGTGGGAAGACTGCTAACACGGGGAAACCGAAACTCCACGGGAGTTGGATGCCTGGTCAACTCAAGGGTCTTTTTGGGGTTCCGCGCTGGTGGTTTGAGAAATGCATTCGAGACCTTTATCAGATCATAAACTTCCCAGCCATGTTTCTGCTCCAAATAACCTGGGCTGAGCTTCTAAAATTGTGATGAAATGTCTGTCTTGCATGTGGGATTTGCTCCTGTTCGGTGACCCCGTCCAGGGCCGTATAAGTCCGTACAGTGCCAGGCTGTACGGCCCTGGACGGCCCTGGACGGCCCTGGACGGACTTGTACGCGCTAACCTGGCCGAATAAGCCCTGCTGTTCGGTAGATTCTGTGTATAGCTTCAATATGGGATAATGCAGATGAGTTTTTGGCACTCATTGTGATTGAGGTATCATGGCATGACGACTCTGTCCCCTCTTCTGGGCATTGATAGTATCTATCATATATCATATTGGTTCGGACCGCTCTCCTGGCACTTTACCCTGACGCGAAAAGAATCTATTCATGAATGAACTGAGGAGTTGACTTGACGAAACACTCAAGGTGAAATATGGCCAGCATCACCCAATCAATTAAGTCTGGTTGATAGACCCATCGCAGCGTTTTCGCCATCCTGGCCGGCTAATCGTGGGCTAAGAGAATTCGAAATTTCGAACTATTATGCGAATGTGATCATATCTTCGACATTCTCAACTCTTGGTTTGCCCCTGCCAACTTAGCGGCCAAGCCAATGAGATACCTTACGCAGCCCTTATATGTGCACAAATGTGTCAAATAGGGTTTTTTATACTAGTGTTACAATGTACACACACCAATCATATTCATTCTATTT